ATTAATGTTAATAAGTTATTATATAATTTTGCTGTAATTATGATAAATATAAACATAAACAATAACTATTGCCATATTTGTTATGTCAGGAAATTTGGTGTTTAAACCAATGGATAATAGTTTGAGTTAATTCTCGTATTACAAGGTTAACTAAAATCAGTGGTTATAATGAATTGTTAATACATTTGTAATTATAGATAAGACAAACTTATAGATAAGCGATTCTTGCAATCAATTACTTTTTATAATTGAAACTTAAAACTTATAATCGATGCCATCTATTGAGATTAAAACACTAGATCATATTACATAATGTGCTAATTATGTTATAAATTATAACTTATAATTATTGCATTTTATTAGTGTTTTGGTTTTAATATACATAATGTAGATTGTATTTATTATATTATCAATTTTTATAATATAATTTTATGTAGTATTACCAATATTTGAATATCTATTCTATAGATAATGTTATCATTGTTTTATTGTACTATACTATTCTTTAAGTGTATAGAATGTTAGTTATATTTAGATCTTAATAGTTGGATAATAAGAATAAAAAATATTCATAATATAGAATTAATATATTTTATCACAATAAATCATTTAGTATCAAAGGTATATATCTTTCATATTTTAATTTTAATATATAATAACGTAATTATGGAGCCATAAGTTGAGTACAGTCTCTGTCGGAAATCTCATTGAGGAGAGGACTGATATCGGGTGGACACGAGTCGAGTATATGTTTAATACACTCTCTTTGCAAATCTCCTGTATATTTCATTTCATTCATTAATTTTGCAAACTTTTCTTTGGCCACACTTTCCGTTTGGTATTTCATTAGTAAATATCGTTGAAGTAAATGAATGTAAACTTTTTGTTGAAATCTAATTTTTAAAATATACAAATTACAATTATGCTTTAATTCTGTTCACAACAACTTACTTAACATTTTCTTTATGTGTTAGGTTTGGGTGATTTGTATCAAACAATACAATAGCCGTACACTAGAATTAATAGACAAATAATGTCAATTAATCATTAAAAATTATAATTATTATTTTAAACAACTACCATGTGCAGAATATTCTTGTCATCAGATAAATCATATCCAGTTTCATAAAGCATTTTGATTTGTGAGTATATATGCGTTAACTTGTTTTTGAACACTCGTAATGGTAATAGAGATGATGTATTGGTCTCTTCCTATATATTAAATAGTAAAATGAGATAAAAGATATAATACAAGAATTAATATTCTAATAATTAATACTAAATTTTTCAATACACATCAAAATACCGTACCTGGGGAAATGTCCATTGTTTCCGATCATGATGGTAACAATAAATTGAACGCATGCATGCCATTTGAATGGCCGCACTCTTAAACAACAACAACTGGTCATTTTCACACATAGTGTTAAAAGCCCTTAACTTCTTGAAGCCCTTTGTTTGCTCTCTGACCCCAATCTCGCAATGAATTGCTAACATTTGGATGCCTTCCGACACATCCGACACTTCGGCCGTTGGGCGAGGAATTGTGACCAGCCTTTCGTCATAAGTGGCGGCCATTAGTTCGTTGAATTTCATGCCTTCCGACACATTAAGGGTATTACATATAATATGTGCGGGAATTGTCGACAATGCAGTTACCGCTGAAGAGTTGCTCTCATCCGATAATATGCTCTCGATTTCATTTATTTGCAAATCCAGTGTCTCTTTACTTATGTTATTATTTTGTAAAATGTCTAAAATATCTATATTATACGTCTCTTCGCTATCGATTGCAACCAGTGTTGAAGGGGACGAAGAGTCGGTTATCTCAGACACCTTATCATTGGATTTGCTTATATCGTCGGTACCGGTGGTTGTTTTCTGCCTTTTAGTTTGTATTTTACATTTTCTAACCTCTTTTTCCGACTCATTCAGTATCACTTCCTTTAAATTGATTTCAATAATTAATTCTAATTCATAAAAATATAAGTAAAAGGAATTTTGAGTTTATAAAATTTATATTTAATACTTTTCTCATTCCAATAGCGAAACACTTTTCAAGTCTGCATTTTCTACAAACAGTCCTCATCTCGACATTCATTTCACAATTATTTTGGAAAGGGCATTTATATTTCTATTGAAAACAACTAGTTATTAATATTTGCATTAAATATTTTACATTTAACACAAAATACATTTAAATTGTTGGCATTTCTCCTAAAGAACGCTTTACATGACTCACAGGAAAGGGCGCAGAAATTTCTACCTAAACATGAATTAGTAATTTATTAAAATATAATTAAGTGTGAATTTTTATTTTTAATACAAATACCAAGTGCTTTATCGCCACAAACACCGCATATCTTCGAGTATTCTTTGTTTACCGACATTATAAATATGTATTTTAATTGACAAAATTGATTAGTTATTTCACGTTAGAGTAATACTCATAAACACAAGTTTCATATTTTAATCCTAATAATTGATATATAAATTACTTTATAGAGATTCACGATTTAATTAAACAACTAAATTGCATTAAAAACCTGACATTAAATGCAAAATATTAACGTAAAACTTAAATAACAACAATAAAGTGATGCCATATTTAAACGTCAATTGAAATAATCCGGTCTCACAACCAGTGATTGAAAGTTGGCATCAATTATCTTATCTGAAGGTTAACCCAAACCTAACACTTGTTTGGGTTAGAGATAGCGATAGATAAGCAGTCAATACAACTGAATCATTAGTGTATTTGTTAATATTGAGATGAAATACAATGTGATTATAGCAAGCATTAAAACAATTCAATTTACTGTACCGTATATAAAGTTCCATGTAATATACTTTACACGGGACAGGAATACCGGTTCAATTACCTTTATATTTATATTTTTTAATTTTCGTAAACATTGATATTATTTTATCTAATTTTTTCACAACAATTATTGCAATCATTGATGTGTTTTTTATACAGTAAAACAAGACTAAAAACTTGGATATTTTTATTAAATTTTAATTATCGTTTTTACATAAGGGAAATTACACCAACAATTACATACATTAAACTTATTATCTCTTTAAGATCAGCTCGATATACGGTGTATAAGTTATAAATAATAATTGTGATAAATTTAGATAATAACAATCAATAAAATTGAAGTGATTTTGTGATTTTCTAATGCATATTTTATTATTTAAATTTCAAAATTTATTAGTATTATAATTACATATAACATACAACTTTACATAATTAACATTATAATGATTTCTATGTAAACCTATGTAAAAATGTAAAAATGAACCCTTGTTTGGATCTATACGAATCATATTATTGTTTCTAAATTTAGTTAACTTTATTGTATATAATTTGATTCAATTGCCGATTGTTACCGAAGAACGAGTTTATATACCATTTATTTAAGCGCAGCTAAAACTTTGTCATTAATTTCAGTGTTCATTTGATCCAAATTAGGAATACTATTGATTATCGTCACTTCTATATTATCGTTGTCATCGTTGCCATCCTGGTCAAATTAAATACAGTATATTAGTTATTAATAATAATAATTACTTATTATAAGAAAGAGAGAGAGAGAGAGAGAGAGAGAGAGAGAGAGAGAGGAGAGGAGAGGAGAGAAGAGAGAGAGAGAGAGAGACTTTGAGTAGTTAATAGCATTAGTGAATGAGGTGTCAATTGCTGTATCAAACCTGTGCGGCGGGTAATAAGTATGCGTCACGAGATTTGCCAATTAATTCATCGACATCATCGACATTATCCAATACAAATGGTTTGATCATGATCAATTTGCCCGTACGTTTAGACCACTTCTTCCCGATCGCCATTTTGAGCCGATTGGAGAACTTCTTCCTCTTCTCCGCCCTATGAGACAAAAGCATCCGAAGTCTGGCCAACAAAATGGCGTATATCTCGTCGATATCGGGCGCCACCAGACCTTTGCCCGCGAAGTCGACCAACTCTGTGGTGACGATTCTGATGCGGGCCTTAGTGTCGGTCTCTTTCTTCAACTCGCGTACAATCTTATTCTTAATACTGTCCGGCATTTCGCTGAACAATATATTCATCGTAGAGACGAACAAATCTTCTTCGGAGAGCTGATCCCCATTTAACCTCTCGTCTGACAAAACATCAATAATCACCGCTTTGTCTGCCATTCCTTTGAGCAACAATTTGCTGCAAGTGATGGCACCGTCTAAATAGCCGACCACATCGTACCCGCCGTTTGGCTCGAGTTGTTTCAACAGTTTGATAAAGTACTGATTCAGCTCTTTGATCGTGGTCATCTTAGACATTTCTCTCGTCCAATTGAGCCCCACTACAGGCCGATTGAGCGATTGTGCTAACTGCTCGAACATGGTGAAATTCAACATAAGAGTTGGCATTAGATATACGGGTCGACCGGTGGTCACGGCGTTTAGGCGCGTATAGGTTTCGGTAGGAATTACGAACTTTTGTTTCAACAAATTAGCCCTGGCTTGTTTCAACTCATCCAGGTGCTTTTTCACATTACCAAGATTGCCCACCTCGTAGTCCTTTAACATACCGATGGTTATACTCTTGACGTGATTTAACGATACCTTTATATTCCACTCCCTCTCCAACTCCTGTTGCAACTCCACGGCGAACATCGACTCGAGCCCTATCTCGCCGAGCGTTAGGTGATTCGGAGTGACCTCCGGGTCGATACCCAACGCTCGCCACAACTCTGCGATCATACGTGACTTTTTACTGCCCGACTCTTTGGCACTCATATCCACTTTAATCTATAAAAATAGTGTAAATTTTACCACAAATTGTTAACACATTTTATGAATTAATATCAAACATACATATGATGTGACCACTGGTTGTTTAATTGATAAGAGTTTGTCCAAAACATCGCAACTCGAGTTTATTCTCTGCTTTCTGATGGTTGTGAATGCCATCAACTGATCCGACCCTTCAAACACTCCCACATCACCGATGGGTCCGTATTGTATGGCGAGTCCGTGCAGACCATCACTACGTCTCTCTTCACATATACGCTCACACATGGAGTTCCCGAACGCATAGTTTGATTGCCCGGCGTTTCCTTTACCACAAGCCAGGGATGAGAAGACAACAAAATAATCCAACGGATAATCCAATTGTCGGGTCAGTTGATCCAGATTTGTGAATATCTTGTGTTTTGTATCAATAGATGAACAAAACTTTTCAAACGATAGCTTTTCTATCAAACAGTCATTTAATTCAATCGCCAAATGAAATACCCCTCCAATGGGTCCCAACTCTTTGGCCTCATTTAACAGCTGTTTTGTGCCTTCGATAGTGAATCCATTGGCAGTCGAGACAATCCATTGGCACTCAAATAATTTTATTTTTTCATAAAATTGTTTGAAACGATTGAAAACGTATTTCTGGTAATCAGTCTTAAGGCCGGACCGGGAGGTGACCACAAACTTTCGGGCGCCTGAATATTGCATCCATGGGATCAGCTCCAGACCAAAACCACCCAAACCGCCGGTTATAATATAGACTTTGTTTGGATCGAAGAATGTCTTAATCATTGTCTTCATATTTACGGCCGGTTTTATCGCTTTCAATGGCCGCCTATCCATCTCTTCGTCTCTCATTTTAATGACAATTTTTCCCATATGTTTACCGGTTGTCATATAACGAAACGCTTTGTCCGCATCCTTGGCCTCAAACAATGTATAATTAATGGGTTTAACGCAACCATTCTTCGAGTTCTTGTGAACCCAATCGTAGAAATCGGGGAAGAAATCCATTTCATCCATAATAACGATATCGATAACAATACCGATGAACTGAATATTGCGTACAAAATCAAACATGCCTATTTGCTTGTTTTGAAACATGTCGTACCGACCGATCTCTACAAAGCGGCCGCTATTGGCCACACACTCGTAGGACGCGTCCAACTTCTCGCCCGCCAATGAATTCAACACAATATTCACTCCCTTTCCTTCAGTCAAATTCAACACTTGATTCTTGAATACGATATCTCTTGAGTTGAAGATCCGTTCCTCCGGTATATCGTATTCTTTCATCAAAAACTGTTTCTTCTCTTCCGTCCCAACCGTCACAAAGATATCGCAGTTGTAATGCTTACACATATTGATGGCCGCCTGACCCACACCTCCCGCCGCCGAGTGTATTAATATACTTTCACCTGTATCCCAATGTTCATGGGCAATTACAAATATAATTAATACATTTAAGTAAAGTTTATAACTGAAAATTTTCATACATAAGTTATATCATATTTTTGCTCAATTAAATAATAGTGTAAAAAATTATTTTAAAAGCAACCTTCAGAAACGCCTTTTAACTTGTACATTTATATTATTAATTATATTAATAATTATAAAATTTTAATAAATTCAATATATTTTCTAAACAAACCTCGTTTAAGATTAGCGCGTTTGATGAGCGCGTAATACAGAGTGCTATATGTGCTCAATATAGTGGCCGCGTCTGCCATCGACCAGTGCTCGGGAACTGTAGTCATGCTATGAATGCTGGCGTTTACCGATGTGGCAAAAGTACGGCCCATATCTATACCCATCACCCGTTCACCGGTATCCACGCGACGGCCCACATATTCGCAGCCCAAAACACAATCAGTAAATATTTGCTCCGGACCCGAGGGTATACGGCCTTAACATTATCAACGGGTATCGACGGTAATCAATTATCTTAATATATAATATATGCAAACTATTCGCTTACCTGAAGCGACCATAACGTCGTGAAATGAAATGCCCGCACAATATATCTCGACCCGTGTTTTGAAAATTTCCTCGTTATTGAAATTCCAGTACTTTTTAATTTCGGGTAATTTCCGGGAATCATACCATTGAATACCCGCTAAATCTTTTGTTGTGCCGGAGTTTAGGTAATAATCATTTGACACACATTTATAATTTCCTCGTTATTGAAATTCCAGTACTTTTTAATTTCGGGTAATTTCCGGGAATCATACCATTGAATACCCGCTAAATCTTTTGTTGTGCCGGAGTTTAGGTAATAATCATTTGACACACATTTATCAAAATCTGTGGGAAGTTTTATGTGTCTATAAGTTCCCAGTTTTCCCTCTTTGATAACATTGGCGACCAAATCATTGGCCAATATATCAGAATATGGCTTAATATTAAAGTCAATGTTTGTCTCACTATTGGTGTCCATATGGAAGATATATCTAAAGTTCTCTCCTCCCGGTTCTAATCGCAAACAATTCATTAAACCAATGATACCATTAATACTCGAGTCCTGCGATACAAGCCATATGTTATCGGTCTTATTGTCCGCCTCTTTAGCGGCAATCAGTTTCTCCTGCAATACTCCAAACCATTGCTGATAATCGCCGGTTATTTTGATAACATTGTGTTTTTCTGGTACAATAGGTTTGTGAATGATTTTTCTAAACATTAGGCATACGGTTCCGATTGTATCGTTTTTTGTTGCGATTAAATTAAATCCAGTTTCGGTGGCAATCGATACAAACTGTTTGATCCTAACATTCAATTCATTATTACTTGGAATTGGTTTTCCCGTCAAAGACATGAACGCAATCTCCGGTTCCGTAAACTTATACCGAAATACCGATAATAGGAATCCATTGCTGTTTATGGAGTCAAACAAGTCTTGTGTGAATTGATTCAAATCCATTTGCCATAAGTCTTGTGTGTCTCTCATTATAACCAAATGCGAGGGTTTTAATGGTATGTCATCTTTAAGTTGCCATTCAGTGGCTCTTTCTCTATATAATTCATTCACCGATTGTTTACTTTTCACAATAAGTTTATAATCGACTTCAAAGGGAAGTATACGAAAATGTGTGACAATCTGTTCCACATCTTTGACCATAAAATTGTTGCTCATATTAATTTCGGTGATATTTATATTACTATTTGTTACATTGTTTTCGCAAACAATTTCCATCAATGATCTAACCATACGTTCATTCTTCTGGATCTGATTCACTAAATCTTTACTCAAATCGTATTCAGGATTTGTTTGTATTTCATTTAAAAGATTTGCCACTTCTTTGTCGTTCAGTTTATTACAATTTTTGTCCACAACTCCTGTCAGTAATTTATCAAATGTGCGAAACATAACATGACTTTCAGTGGAATCGCTCCTCAATTTTTGAAGTACTTCTTCGCCGATGTTTTTATAATTAAAATCGCATTTCATTTCTCTGACATTCAGTTGCTTTACTTTAGCCGCCATTGATTTACAAACCTATTACAATATAATCATTATATGAATAGTTATAATTGTTTTCACAAAGTTATAAAGTTTACATGTATTGTACTTTATAATTACTTCTAAATACTTGGACACAGCTGTCGATAAACTGTCATCAATGGCCTGATTATCATCGTTGGCGCAGAACTCTGCGGAATCCAAGACCAGACCAGTGGTGTCCGTACGTCGGGGTACAGGAAATACGATAACCTCTTCGAGTTCAACGCCCGGCGAAACCAATTGTTTTGTATTCAAATTGTAATAAAACGGTATTTCCGATGAGTAGACGGCGAAGCGTTCGTTGAATCGGACTTTCTCTTTGGCCATAACCGTCGACAGAGTGTTTTGCTCGCCAGTCGTGGCTTCGGAATCGGGAACTACTGTAGAGTCCAAAACATCGTCGATATCGACGTTCAATTGGCTCGAATTGGAGGCGACGGTGCCATCAGTGGTCGGTTCGTCCACTTGACGCCTGTGCCGTTTGAAAGCGTCAAACATAACCCGTGGGTCGAGCCGTAACTTACGGATGAGCACCGGTAAAAGCATTTTGCGAAACGGCACCGATAGGGCGCGCGATTGGCACAACGCGTCCATATAAGTGACAAACTGTCCGTCCCATTCGCACACACCGTAAAACTCGTTGTAATTATTTGTGCCCACTTTGCGTAGCCGTTGAAACGCCGGCCCGTAGTCTAAGCCCATAACACCTAACTCTTTGTATATGTCGTCCCTATTAACCGAGTACTGGGTCTCAGAAAGTTTGCGCTCGTTTTCATAGAGCAAGTGCTGCGCGATTAGCACGTCATCGCCCGGCGCACGGATTTTGCCCGAAACGCAAACGTTGTCGTTCTCGTAGATTGAAAATTCACCTGGATCAAATTTTGTAAATCAGGTTAATTAAATAATTTTATTATGTTAAAATATCTAACCGTTTAATGGATAATATTTAACAGTAAGAGTGGTGTCTTTGCCCTCGGTCAAAAATATAGCCCTTTTTAATTGAACATTCTCAAATAAAACGGGCACGCTGTACCACAATTTGCCCATGGTGGCCGCCAGTTTACGCCACGCCAGCATCAAATAGCCGGTGGCGGGGAATATAGGGTTGCCGTCGACCGAGTGATCCAAATAAAACTCATCGCCTTTTGCGCTACAATTGACGACAACATTCATGTCGGAAGCGTTTCCCCGATTCCAGCGCTCCGGATATATCCGCCGCTGAATCTCTAAACTGTGATCCCATCTCATCAGCGAGTTTATGGACTGTGTATTGCGGGCCACCGGCCACTCGACCCGAGGGTACAGCTTATCGACCGACAGATTGACGCCCAACTCATACAGAGTGGCCAAACCGGACAAAAATAAGTCCATATTCTTATCGTTTGAATCCTTTTTAATGAGCGACACATAAGAGGACTCATTGAGTGTTTCGCTCACTATTTTGCCAAACAGTGAATGCGGACCGATCTCTAAAACAATGGCGTCGGCGGGCAGTTGTTTGATGCGATCGTAAAACTGAACAGGGTGAACCAAGTTATAGGCAAAGTACTCGCCCGAGGCGCACCGCAGGGCCTCCTCTTGTGGATCAGATACCATGAGTGAAGTGGACAACCATTTCTTGGAGCGCGGCTTCGGATGCGGTATATGTTTATTGATGGCGTCGATCAACGGCTGGGCAGAGGTTTGGATGTATTTTGAATGATAAGCAATATTACTGCTCTCTAATTGGCGGACAAATATATTTTTGTCCGCCAATGCTTTGATTGTATTCTTCATCTCCTGTTCGGGTCCTTAAAATGAATAGAAAATTATATATTTATTAATTATTATTAATAATAATATTATATTTGTGGCAAATATTTACCCGAAATAACGACACTATCCTTAGCGTTATTACACGCGATGTAAACACCGTTTGGACACAACTTCTGGACCTCAGCCTTCGGTAACCCCACGACAGCCATCAGTCCTTTCGGTATATTTTTGTCGTTTTCTGTAACTATTCCTCGGATTGATGTGACGACCATTGCTTCCCGTGTGTCGAGACACCCGTCAGCGTAAGCGCAGGCTATCTCTCCAAACGAGTGGCCAATTATACCGTCGGGTGTGATGTCCAGCGCTTTCATCACTTCAAACAACGCTATCTCTATAGCAGTCGTCGAACAGAACTTTGCGGTCATTGAAGCCATCGATGCCTTGTCTTCGGATAATAACATTGTCTTCAAATCCATTCCAAACTCTTGTAGTATTTGATGGCATTCCTCCACTTTATCGGCGAATATCTTGATTGGCATCAAAGCCTTAGCCATTGCCGGCCACTGACCGCCCAAACCCGGGAACAGTAGCCATAAAGGTCTCACACTTTTACCTTTTTGAAAGCCAAATTGTCTCTTGTATTCGTAATTAAAATTATTATTCGTTTCTGAAATCTTTTTTATTATAAGTGAACCTAATATTTAAAAATTTATTAATTCCAATTAGTTTGATATTAAAATTTTAATTAATATAATAATTAATTAAAAAATATACGAATTCCTACCCCTGTATGGCATTCCCGATGAGTGAACATTAGGCGTGTATTTCATAGTCTGTGCCAAAAGCGCCAAAAAGTCATTCGTCACTCTCTTTGGGTTGTTTTGTATGAAATCCATCACATATTTGACCGCATCTTCAGTTCGGCCGCAAATGTTAACAATTCTGGGAATCGTTTCGGCAATTCTCAGTCCATCACTGGTTCCCAACTTATGGTTGGGTTCGAGCAATACGTGTGCGTTCGCACCGCCGATACCAAAGTTGTTGATTGCGGCCAAACCTATCACAACATTAATATAAAGCAATTAATTAAAAATATACTTTACACTTGATTTGCACACAACATTCATCTACTAATATATAATTTGTACTTAAATGTATACCTGGTTTATATGGCATGGGCTCCACAATAGGCTTTATTGGCGGACAATAGGGAAGGCATTCGTCTTTCAGTTGTTTCATATTAAGGTTGGGAGGAATGCATTCATTCTCGTAAGCGATACACACTTTAATAATGGCCGCCACACCCGACCCGGCCTCCGAGTGACCCATATTACTCTTCAACGCCCCCAACGGCAGGGGTTCAGTACGTCCCGGAGCCTTAACGTAAGCATTATATATGGCCTTTATTTCCTGGGGATCGCCCGCCTATTGATACAAATATATTTTAAATCATTACATTTTGAATGTAAACCAATTTTAAAATGATTTAATATTGACATGGTCCATTTATAAATTTCTACGCTAACAAACTTGAATAGTATTTGGTCAAAAAGTTTAACAATGTTATAATAAATATTTAAATAGATTCCTTGAATTTCTAGACCACATACTCTTCGAAATATTCATTTTTTTTATCATAAGTCTATTAATGTGTACCATATTTAACATTTTAACCTAAATTATAATAGAATTTTGTAATGGTTTGAAAATTGCTTCTAATATTTATGAATGATAATAATAAAGTATAAATCTTATTAAGATGGAACCACGGTCATGTCACTCGGAGCTTTATCCACTCCAGTTCACCCAAATGTAACTGGAGCAACATCCGCAGTTAGTACTCGAGAAGGACTCGCAGCCGGTTACCCTTCTTGTATGGCCTCGTCTTATTACCATCGATGTTCATTTTGGCATTGACCATGGTGGCGTACACACGACGGGCGTTGCGCCTGCGCTGTAGGAAAGCACAGCACACGGCCTCGCCTTTGATGAAGCCGTCGGCGTCCTGATCGAGGACTGCGGCCACACCTCTGGGCGAACACAGACCCGACTCCTGTTGGAACTGCAGTACGAATGGCTCGAACAGCATATGAGTGCCGCAAACGATCGCCGTATCGATGTTTCCTATTATTCATCACACGTTTAAATGAATTTTTTAAAATTACAATTAATAATTAAATAATTTTTCAAGTGATGATCGCATACCGAGTCTCATGTCATTCATAGCCAGAGTAGTAGCCGATAGACTGGCCGAACAGGCGGTGTCCACCATCAGTGACGGGCCCTTGAAATCAAACACAAATGATATACGGCTGGCGTAAAGCGACTTTAGATTGGAGAGGGTCTGCATTGTCGCCGTTTGAAGGCTTTGCTTCAAATCTGGGTGTTATAGCAGCCCTATCGGTAGTCAGTACCCCATATGCCGCTGGGGTTGCATATGTGGTCAGAATGATGGGGCGTCACTAACGCCTAAATTTGGATATACTTTTATGTAAGCATGTTAACAATGTAAAGAACTACAGTTCAACATGAAAATTGAAGTTTATACGATCACTCTGCCCTGTCCCACTCATTTATTATACACTCATTATACATAAAGTTGAATTGCCCAACCTTAATCTACAATCTAAAATCCAGATATACATGTATAGTATATGTAAGTTTTATGTAATTAAAAATTTTAATCAAAATATTAGCATTAAAAAAATATCATTTTAAGCATGTTTCTATAAAGCACATTGAATTATCAGATGTAATAGATTTGTGATTACACTAAAGCTTATTAGAGTAACTTTTTATAACGAGTATTATTACCCACAAGTGTCTGGCCGTAGCTACTACCGGAGCATCCACTAGAGCTCTTCGTAGGCGCGGACGCCCAGTTGGCGAAGGCTGTTGACACAGCCCAGTCCGAAGAAAGTGGCGTCAAATTGATTGAAATCATGGATTTTGCCAAACCGTGGGTTCAAATCAAACGTGCCTGTTCATATNGCCTCGTAGGTGATCTCGAGAAGCATCCGCGCCTGCGGGTCAACCGCTTCCGACAACTGTGTCGGGAGTCCGAAGAAAGTGGCGTCAAATTGATTGAAATCATGGATTTTGCCAAACCGTGGGTTCAAATCAAACGTGCCTGTTCATATATGTTCATTTATGTTTAATGAGATTTTAAAAATTAAATAAAATTACTGTATATTACATACATAATGATACATAATATAAACAATATATAATTATACACAATATATAATTCATATTTAAATTAAATCTGTGTTATATTTGAATGCATTCATACCCTCTGGCCATCGGCTGTCATCACCGGTGATCATATCGACGCCATCGTACAGATTGCGGGCCAATTCGTCGGTGTTGTTGGACAGCGGGAACCGACCGGCGATACCACTGATTACCACATCGTTTCCAGACGTTGTTTTACTCATTGTTCACAATCTTTCAGTTATATTATTGATGGACAATAAAAACTGATATACTTTTCAACCAAAAGTGAATGTAAATTTAAAGTGGATATTATTTTGTTTATAAAAGCAACAAATGCTGGATATATTAATAATAAAGTTTGCTAGATATTTGCCTATGGTTCTTCATAAGCAAACTCGATTTAAGCATAATTTACTGCCTTATATATGTGCGATCTGTTTTGCAATTGCAATTAAAATTATTAAAAACAAAATAATCAATTTGATAAAATATTTTTAAATTGACAATTGATTATAGCTTTAAATAAAATGGAAGCTTAATTACAAAAGATCTTATGATTAAATATAAGCATTGGATAACTAACCGGTGTAATTTTTATTAAATGGTATCGTTATTCTAATTATTTTTTAAGACTATTAAGTTAAATTTTTATATTTAATATTGATGAAATCCATTAAATATGCTGAATATGCATGATTATTTTATAAGTTTGTCAAAACGTGTTTAAATTGTTTATTAACTATAAGTGTATTTATTAATGATTGACGTAGAAAATGAACTTGTTTTGATTCAAAACATATAATTATGGATTTCAAAATCTTTGCATTTCACTATGTATTACTCAATTGAAACTTTCTGTAGATATAATCAAGGTAAATTAATAATCAAATTTTAACCTTCAACTTAATTGGATTCATATTAAAACTGATTGATTAAATGTTCAAAATAGTTACTATTATTTAATTTTTTCGTTAATTAATATTGATATATTAATCTAAATCTATTTACAAGTTAGTAATTAATTAATTAATCTAATTAGGCGTTAGGTTTGTGCGAGATAAAGAATTATTAATTATAGCATACATTTATTTCATATAATTTTACTATAACACATTATACATGTTTTAGATAAAATATATATAATAATTAAATAAACAAGTAAAGAGCTTAAAATAATCTTGTAGGATAAAATAAATGTCTATTGTTCCTGATAATTTACTTATTTTATATTAATAGTACCCTATTATATAATAGTTGAATTAATAGTAGCATAATTAAATTGTCATTCATGTTTTTAAAAATCACAAAAATTCTTGAAACACTGTTCATTGAAGAAGTTGCCAATGATATGATTTTTAATAAGGAATCACGAGGAATTATTTTTTACCTAATTTTAACAATTACAATAATTTTATTAAATAAAATAAATATTATAATTATTTATTTAATTGATTTTCAATTGAAAGTTTTAAAATCTAGTGATTATTTTTCAATTAGTTTAACGCCCGCCAAATGTTATAAATAGTATACATTATAGTAATATACATTATGTTTAGCCTTTAACAGGCATTATATCAATTAATTGCAATCATAAATTATGATTCTAAATAGTCTAACGTAATTTAGATGATAAAATAAGGTAAACAGTTATTATAACTTATAATTATGCTATCGATATCATTTGATCAAGGTTAGCCTTTCGACGCTTAAAAAACTACGCTTTTTAGAAGAATACAGATATTTTATTTCAATGTATTTAATCCAGAAGAGTCACAATAGTTAGGAACGTGATCTTATTTTCTACCATGTATACAGTATTAAGATTATTTTTAAAATCTACAGTTGATGAATTAATGGACTGGAGTTATAAATTATATAATTGTTATTCCGTTATTTATAATCTAAATCTTAGATTTTTAGTTAGATTTTAGTATTTTATAACAATTTTATTAGTTAACAGTTTACTAATCAAAACATTCAAATATAATAATAGTTTATTAATCAAATATGTCAATTAAAACAGTAAATGAATGTGGTCAAAATAATTACTTAATTAAGAATTACATGTTTCTTCTTGTTAGGTGTTACAAAATTTAACCATAATATTTAATTATAATAATAATAATAACAATAATAATAATAAAGCCATAATTTAAGGACAATCTCTGTCGCAAATCTCATTGAGAAGAGGACTGATATCCGGTGGACACAAATTCAAACCATAATTAATGCACTTTTGTTGCAAATCTCTCATAACTCTAATTTGATTCAATAATTTTGTTAACTTTTCTTTGGCCACACTTTCCGTTTGGTATTTCATTAGTAAATATCGTTGAAGTAAATGAATGTAAACGTTTTGCTGAAATCTAAATTTGTAAATTAATATTTAAATTATCGGTATGAATAATTTCAATCAAAATTACTTACTTAACATTTTTCCTATGCGTAATGTTTGGGTGATTTGTATCAAACAATATAATTGGCGTACACTAACAAATAGTATATAAAATTATTTGCATACTAATATTTAATATAATCTTAAATAATTACCAAGTGCAGAATATTCTGATCATTACTTAGGTTGCATACCATTTCAAACATTGATTTAGTTTGTGTGTACATATAATTTAAATTATTTTCAAACACTTGTAATTGCAATCGAAATGGTTGAACGGTGTCGTCCTAACAATTAACATAACAAGTTATAAAATTACTCAATGTTAATATTAACTTATATTAATTTAAAAATTGATAATTCATTATACGATGTATGTAATTAAATGAATACCCCGGGAAAACGCCACTCTTCCTGATCATGATGGTAAAAATATGTCGATCGCATACATGCTAATTGAATGGCCGCACACTTAAACAGTAAGATCTGGTCATTTTCACACATATTGCGAAAAGCTCTTAATTGTTTAAAGCACCTTGTTTGCTTTCTAACCCCAAGCTCACAGTGAAGTGTCAACATTTTGATGCCTTCCCACACATCCGACACTTCGGTCGTAATGATAGGAATTGTGGCCAACCTTTCGTCATAAGTGGCGGCCATTAGTTCATTGAATTTCATGCCTTCCGACTCATTAAATGTATGGCATATAATATGTGCGGGAATTGTATCACAATTTGTTGGTAATGTCGATACCGTTGAAGAGCTGCTCTCATCCCATAATATGTCCTCCAATTCTCTTATTTGCAAATCCAGTGTCTCTTTACTTATGTTATTATGATTTAAAAACTCAAATACATTATCTGTCTCTTCACTATCGGTCACAACCATTGGTGATGTCGATGAAGAGTCGGTCGTGATATCTATTTTGCCGTTTGTTTTATTAACATTGTTTTTATCGGTAAATAATTTTTGTTTATTTTTCTGCATTTTTCGTTTTCTAACTTCTTTTTCCTCGTCAGTCATCAGCACTTCCTATGCATTGAATTTCATAATTTAATTCAAGAAAATTTTCAAAAATAGTTTTGTAAATACTTTTCTCATTCCAATAGCAAAACACTTTTCAAGTCTGCATTTTCTACAAACAGTCCTCATCTCGACATTCATTTCAAAATTGTTTTCAAAACGACATTTAAATTTCTATAGAAAACAACTAATTATTAATATTTACATTAATTATTTTACATTTAACACAAAATACATTTAAATTGTTGGCATTTCTCCTAAAGAAGGCTTTACATGACTCACAGGAAAGGGCGCAGAAATTTCTACCTAAATATTAAGTAAATTAATAAATTATTTAAGTTAAAACTAGATATAATTGTTTAATATAAATACCACATGTTTTATCGCCACAAACACCGCATATCTTCGGATAATTTTTATTTGTTGACATTTTATTACTCAAAAAGTATTTTAAATGCGAGAATCAATTAAATATTTATTTAATACTCAACAGAAACATAAATCATATCAATAAAGTGATGCCATATTTTTGCACTCAATTTTAATATTATTAAATACAAAATCCTTTTTGATAACCAATGATATAAATAATTAACTTATTTGAAGGTTAACTCAAACCTAATTCTGGTTTAAAATAATAGATAAGTAAAAAAAAATTTCACAATTTCAATCAATATTATTTTATTCGTTTTAATTTTAATAATATTTTAATTTAAATACGATTATAATAACAATTTGAATCATTTATAACAATTATTCTTTAAAGTATCATGCACCTTTATCACATATAATTTTAAACTTATTACATTGGTCATTATTAATTAATAGACAATATTGTAATTATAAGGAAAATTTCGGTAATATTTCAGGCATTTTGAGGACAATCTCTGTCACAAATCTCATTGAGAAGAGGACTGATATCCGGCGGACTTATATTCAAGATATATTTGATACATTCTTGTGCTAAATGTCTCATATTTTTAATATCATTTATTAATTTAGCAAATCTTTCTTTGGCCACACTTTCCGATTGGTATTTCATTAGTAAATATCGTTGAAGTAAATGCACGTAAACTTTTTGCTGAAATCTAAATGTTTAAATTATGTTCAAATAATTAATAAACTTATTCATCAATTCATAATATACTTTACATACTTAACATTTTTCTTATGGGTAATGTTTGGGTGATTTGTATTAAACAATACAATTGCCGTACACTGAAAATGATAATAGAGTATACAATTTTATGCATATATTAATTAAAAACAATGATATTAATTTAATTACAGAATTTATAAAAAGTAACGTTTAACATTATCTTAAATAATTACCAAATGCAGAATATTCTTATCACTCGCTAAATCCCATGCCATTTCATACATTGACTTTGTTTGCGAATATATCGATATATGCTTTGAATTGTTTTTAAATACTTTTAATGGTAATCGAAATGACGGAATCGAAGCGAACTAAACATTAAAATAGCAATATTTAAATCAAATTGATCTTAATTGTTCGTAATAATAACAGTTTTAAAATTGTTGATTCATTATAATTAAATTACTACCTCGGGAAAAGTCCACTGTTCCTGATCATGATGGTAAAAATAAGTTGATCGCATACACGCCAACTGAGTGGCAGAGCCTTTTGCCAGTAAAATCCGATCGTTTTCACACATATTGCCAAAAGCCGTGAAATTGTTGAAGCGTTTTATCTGCTCTTTGACTGCTGTCTCACAACGAATTGTCATCATTTTGATGCCTTCCCACACATCCGACACTTCGCTCGTAATGATAGGAATTGTCTCAAATAGTTGATCATAAGTGGCGGCCATTAGTTCATTGAATTTCATGCCTTCCGACTCATTAAGAGTATGGCATATAATATGTGCGGGAATTGTATCACAATTTGTCGACAATGCAGTTACCTCTGAAGAGTTGCTCTCAACCGATAATATGTCCTCCAATTCTCTTATTTGCAAATCCAGTGTCTCTTTATTGATGTTATTATTATCTAAAAACTCAAATAAAATAGACGTCTCTTCGCTGCTCACAACCATTGATGGTGTGGATGAAGAGTCGGTCGATGTATATATTTTACCATTTACTTTATTTGTATTGTTTTTAACCGCGAACAATTGTTTATTTTTCTTCATTTTTCGTTTTTTCTCTTCTTTTTCCTCGTCAGTCAACAGCACTTCCTATACATTAAATCTCATATTTTAATAAAACATATTTTTTTAAATAGTTTTATAAATACTTTTCTCATTCCGATAGCGAAACACTTTTCAAGTCTGCATTTTCTACAATCACTTCTCATCTCGACATCCATTTCACAATTGTTTTCAAAAAGACATTTCAATTTCTAATAAAGCAATTGATTATTGTTTACATAAAGATTAGTTAAAAATTTAAAATACATTTAAATTGTTGGCATTTCTCCGGAAGAATATTTTACAGGATTCACAGGAAAAAGCGCAGAAATTTCTACCTAAATATAGAGTAAATTAATAAATTGTTTAAATTTAAATCATATATAATTGTTTAATACAAATACCAAATGCTTTATCTCCACAAACGCCACATACTTTCGGGTATACATTATTTACTGACATTTATTAAGTTTTAAATGCGAGAATACAATTCATTAATAAGTAAAATAAAATATTTACAAGTAAAATATCATATCATATAATGATATAAAGATTTAAATGCCAACAATAAAGTGATGCCATATTTAAACATCAATTGAAAACACAACTAATGATTCAAATATAGCGTCAATTATCTTATTTGAAGGCTAACCCAAACCTGATAACCGTGTCTTATATTATAAAACTTATAATGTATGTAATGTAAAGTCAATGCAACTTTAACTGTAAGTAACTGTAAGGTGCAACTAAATATGTGGATATAAATAGTTGCAGTAGATTTTAAAACATTTGTGATTTTCAATTGAAATTTATTTATACCTTGAAGTTAGAGTCTAGGTAAAACATCACATTTAAAATTAATTGTATAATTCATGTAATAATATCCAATTTAATTAATTTTGTAGTAACAAAATATTTCTATTTGTATGAATAAATTATATAGAATTGGTTTATCAAATAATGGTCATATTTTTTTTATCACATTTAGATTTAATACAATTCAGTTAATGATTACATTATGTAATATTGAATTTTTGTAATTATAAGGCCATGAGTTGAGGACAATCTCTGTCACAAATCTCATTGCAAAGAGGACTGATATCGGGTGGGCACAGGTCCTGCACATGTCGGACACATTGCTGCTGCAAATCTCTCATTAATTTCTTGCATTATTTTTGCTAATTTTTCGTTGACTGAACTTTCCGTTTAGTATTTCATTAATAAATATCCCTGAAGTGAATAAATGTAAACTTTTTGTTGAAATCTAGAATTAAATATAAATCTATTAAAACTTAATTTCATTCATAACTAGACTGTCCAGATGTGGGGGTTGGGAGGGAAGTGAAACTATAGAGTGGGATAGATTGGAAAAGGGAATGGTTAACACATTTTGTTGACTGAACTGATGGCTAGTGATTATTAATTAAAAAACTATTTGTTAAGAAATTTAATATTAAGTATCAAATTTTATTTTAAGTATAAACGAAATTGTAGATTTTGTAATAACAATCCTATGGCAACAAAAAAGTTGGCGAAATTAAAGCCCATTAGTAAAGGAATAATTTGATGAATAGGTACAAGAAATAGATTACCAATTAATAAGAAAGCATTAAATGTAGTCTAAATTTAATAATTATTGGTAACACTATATTTTTATTATCACTCATCAAAATCTGATACCTATTTAACTAAATATTTAATATTCACTTAAAATCGAGTTATTTCTCACAGCGAATAGTAGTGATAAAAGTAACACTTTATAAATTACTAAAATTGTACACAAAATTAAAGTAAAATGTCTTCAGTGGTCAGATTAGTTGCAATCCTATTATCATTGACGACACTTTTGGTTACTAATGTTAGCGGAGCTAATGCTGAAGAGACATCCCATAAGATGGAAAGCTGTTCCGCGGAAATGGTATTGAATTATCTTATGGTGTGTTCGCTTCTATCGCTGGACAAATGGCACATCAATATCACTGAAGTATTAGTATTACCCAATAGCAGTTATTATAGGGCAAAGTGTATACACGGAGGCCCTGACGGGTGTGAGCGAAAATATTGCTGTTCAGAATACGATGAGAAAGCATGCCTCCAACAGATCTCGCGCTACGTGTGCGCCGACGAGTTGGCCAAATTGATTGCACTCATGCCATATAATACTACGCTCGGTTGCCATCAAGTCTTGGCCAACAAGAGTTGTCACTCACTCTCTATGGACGTGAATGGCGTGGAGGCCGTCGACTCCACCACCGCTGATGCGGTCACTTATGAGCTCGCATTTCAAACACCGACCGTCGCGTCCGTCCGACCATTTAAAGCGCGCATAGAGTTTGCACAACAGAGGTCTTCGCCCGACAACAACGCCGACCCGATTGTGGCCGAAGCCGAGGCCGGACTCAATGAAAGAACATTAGTTATTAATGTTTTTAATGTTAATGCTCTATTCATGTTTTTATTGATTCTCTTCAGTTTTATAATAGGATATTATTTTCATAAAATCAGAGCACTTAAAAAGGCAGACAAAGGCGGCACTGGCGGCCGGGCACAAGCGGGTCGTGACCCGGAATCGGCCACAATTATTAAGGATTTTGTGCTCTACTAATTATTATAGAAACTATATTTATTTAATTACTGTTTAAAATTAATTAGATTTAACGTAAAATTGTTAGTTTTTATTTAGTTTATAGCGATTAGTGTGCAGCATAATTGCACTATAAAGTAATACCATAACGGTATTAATTTGTTAATTTTACATGATTGTAATCTATATTATGAACTTCTTATAACAATTGTATGAATGAAATTAAATAAAATTAATTGTATAATTCATTTAATAATATTCAATTTAATTAATTTTATAACAACAAATTATTTTAATTTTTGGGATAAATTATATCAAAATTGGTTATTCAAATAATGGTCATATTTTTATCACATTTAGATTTAATACAATTCATTTAATGATTATATTATATAATATGACATAAAGAGCTATAATAGGCATCAAATATATAAAAATCCAAATGAATTTTTTTTGCTATTTTATTAATTAGTATTTTGAGT